CTTTCATAGGGAGGTGGCCTCTGGGTATCCTGGGCCCTGGGGAGAAGGGACCCCAGGTCCCTGAGACCAGGGCTGCTTCACAACAGTCAGGCTTCTGGGGGACTCAGGAGGACCAAGGCTGGAGGGGCCTCTGTTCTTGGGGGGAGAAGAGGGGTCTGCAGGGGCACTGATGGCCTGAAGGCAGGAGGACACTGGCCAGGTAGATGCTAACCTCGGGGACAGCTGTGTCTTTGAAAACAGCACAGTCCCTCCACGTCTCTAGTGCCTTCCGTCACTCCTTCCTCAGTCATTACTATGTCACTAGGATGTGCAGGGCTCTCTCCTGGGCCCAGAGGGACAGAAATGAAGCAGCTCCACCCTCGCCCACAGCAGCTCACGGCCTGGTGGCTGGTCTGGTGTGGATACCTGTGGGGCATTGAGGGTAAATGTCACCTTCAGGGGGTGTGGCAGGTGTCCTGATAAAGCAGGACAATAGCCAAGGACAGAGGCTGGCCTGGGGAGGGAGCCAGAGAGCTGGGTGAGGAAGAGGACAGAGCAGAGCTGAGAAGGGACATGCCAACCAGCAGAGAAGCAGCAGGTCGGGTTTCTGCAAAGAGGGGACGTGAGGAGAGAGAGGCCAGGTGAGGGGGGCGGACTGGCACCCCTGCGGGCTGGGTGGCTGGAGCTGCGGGGACGGGAGGTGAGGGTGGAGGAGGAAGGGGTGGGGTGTTCTCTTGTCTTCATATGACATCAGGGCTGCTGGTGACACTCCCAGGTGGGGCCTCTACCAGGGACCAGCCGCCTTAGCTGCCTGCCTCCCCCTCGGCCCTGCAGGGAGGAGCTGACTCCGCTGTGATAACTGAGGAGCCTGAGGCTCGGGGAGGTGGAGCCTGTTGGTTACAAACCCTCGGGCAAGGGACACCCAGACTCACACCCCAAAGCCCACGTTCTGTCCCCCTGCTGCCACTGAGCAGGGTCCCCTCCTGTCCGCAAAGCCGAGCCAGAGCCCCACGGGCCCCTTCCAACCTAGGATTATGTCACCGTGCCCCACAGGGATTGTCCCTCTCTGCATACCAAGTAGGCAGAAAAAAGATGGATGGAGGTGACAAGAGTCATCGTGGAGGGAGCTGTGGCCCCCGGGCTGGGGTGGGAGGAGAAGGAGCCGGTTCGTGCCACAGAGGCCTGTCCCCAAAGGTGTCACTTCGGTGGAGATAAACTTTATGGGCACTGGACTTTGACCACTTCAATTTTGATCACTTCCATTCTAGGCTGTCAAGGAGCCACCACCAACCCAGGAAAGAGCACAGGTAAGCAGTGTGTTTGGTCCTGACGCTGTCAGCCTGCCCGATGTCAGGCTGACCCGCACAGAGAGGCCTCCTGCCGCTGATGGGGATATGTACCCCCACCACCTACCTGGGCAGAGAGAGCTGGCAGCAGGAGGATGGTGACAGAGAGGCACAGAGGGACCCCAGGGAGGATAAGGGACTCACCAGTATCACCCAGACAACACACTCCCCACGTTCCCAGCACGGCCTCATTCAGAGCCTTCGTCACTGGATCAGCAATGCGGTGTGGCCCGTTTCAGGAACAGCTAGGATCCCTCCTGAAATAAATGGGCTTTTTTGCCAATTCCCAAGGGGCGTGTGTAGGATGGTCCTTCCGCAGGACTCAGGTGAGCTTTTGGAAAAGGACTCTCAGTTTTCAGGGACCTGGTCCCCCTTCTCCAGGCTCTGCGTCCTTGGTCTTCATCTCTGTCTGTTGTCAGCATGAGGGCCTTGGCTGGACGTGGGGCTGAGGGGAGGGGAGGGAGGAGGGCATGGAGCTGTGAAGGGGGCGCAGCCCAGGCAAGCCCAGGGACCAAGGGGCAGGGGAGCAGCTGCGGCGACCAGGGTGGGCGCCCAAACCAGGGCCACAAGAGGCAGTTGGAGCAGGGGCACGGTGTCCCAAGAAAGGGGACCTGGGCCTGAGGTCTGGTGGGAAACCGGTCACTATCCAGGCTGGCATCTGCGCTGGTTGCAATGTGGCCTGGGGACGCTGGATCTGCCAGAGTCAGGTGAGTATCCCGCTGTCCCTGCTCGTGACCCGCCCCCCGCAGCCTCCATCATGTGACACGGCCTCAGGCCCAGCTTCTCCAACAAGGGCAGCTCTGGGAACCAAGGGGACAGGACAGAGTTTGCTGGCCTTTGTAGAAGACCCATCTTTGTGGAGCAGAAGTATGTTCCTCACGCGGAGGACACTCTCTTATGGTGCCCGCCGCTGCTCTTCTGTCCTTGATTCTCCAGCAAACATCCCCTGAGTGATGAGAACTTGACAGGGGCTGGGGCAACAGATGTCATGTGTCTGCAGCCAGGAGCTGCCGGACAAGGAAGCAGACAGGGTTTTCTCTTCCTAGGAGCCTGAGGACACATGTCCCATGCAGACATGCCCCACGGTGATTGTCCCCTGTGGGTGCCAAGGCGGCAGGATGAAACGGATGGAGGTGAGGAGGGCCCTGGGGAGCCGGAGGGGAGGGGAGCCGCCGCGTGCACAGCCCTGGGCCCGGCAGGCACGGCCCGAGTAGGCATGGGCTACGGGCCGTGGACTGCTGTGACTGGGACCAAGAAAAGCCGAAGGCCTCCTGACCTAGTGGCCCAGGAGAGGCCAAAATGTGTGCGGGCTCATGCTTGCACCACCACCAGGGCTCCAGGCAAAAGGATTTCCCCCTCAGGCTGGGGCCAGGGTTCTGGGTGTTGGGGGGTGGCCCCAGGTGGAGGCTCCAGTGCTGTCTTGGGGTGGTGGTGGGGACAGAGCCCTGGGAGGCCATCTCTAGTCAGAGGGGACACGGCCCCTCTAGTGGCAGCATCTATGCCTGTAGATTCCTCACAAGCACACCTGCTTTTCAGGGAAAACTGGATACTTTGTGTAACTTTGTTCAGCGCCGCAGCCAGGCACCAGTGATGTGGTGCTCCCCCAGGGCCATGGGATGGGCACAGCGATGCTCCCCGTGGGCTGGGGTCTTGTCTTTGCCCTTGACTCTTGCCCCCTGGGCTCCGGGTCAGAGATTCCTGTCTGGGCATCTGCCAAGAGGGCTGCCCAAGACGTGGAGACCTGGTGCTCACGAGCCTCCCGGGCGATTCTCAACACATTTATCCTGCGTCCTCGTCCCAGGTGTGTCAGGAAGTAGCTTACCCAGAGCAACACTCAGCACTTCTGACCTTAAGTAAACAGGGCTGGAGAGGAGGGCAGGCGGGGAGTCCTGTTCGCCTCCCAGTGCCTCCCAGTGCCCACCCGACCCCGTGGGACAGCTGGCTGTGCCCCATCCATGAGGCCCTCCCGGGCTGGTCACTCAGGTGCCAGGAGTGGTGGGAGTCATGGTGACAGCCCCTCCCCGGTGTTGTCTGGAAACGCTGACTGCTTTTGCCAGGTAGTCAAGATGCCTTCCTGTGTCAGCGCCTGTGACAATGCGGAGAAGCCAGATCGTTCTGGTTGTCAGCCTTGGAGTTTAACGTAACGGCAGCTAATTTTACTGAGCCCTGTCTGTGGGCCAGGTGCTCGGCTAAGGGCTTCTTTGCGTGTTTTCGCTGCTCTGATTGTCCCGGTAACTGTGAGTGTAGGCGCTGCTTGTCCCGGCTTCACCGAAGGGGGAGTGAACCACAGGGAGGCTGAGGGGCTTTTCCCCGGTCACTTAGGGCGGGAGAGGCAGAGCTGGATTTAAGCCCCGAACCCAGCCCCACCCTTTTTACTACTTTGCCCCCTTTTGGATCAGCTCATGATCTCATGATGGTTATTTCCAAACCTCCAGAGGGCTGCCCTACTCAGGCCTCCAGATCCCAGGACGGCAGTGCTCCTATTTCACCTGGGAGTCATCTGCCTGGACATCACATTCCATGGGGGTGTCCCCACGCTCAGCCCCTCTGCACAGATGGGGCCAGGGGCTCGGAGGACACTGTGGCCCCAGGGTCTGTAATGAGGGCTGAATGAACCACATTCTCTGAATCATGCAAACACTGGCTCTTGGTGACTGGGCAGAGGGTATTTAGAAGCTCTGGACAGGCCTGAAAGGCCCTGGGCACTGCTGATGACACACTAGAGATGTGCACACACCCAGCAAGACATAGCCTGGTGACAGAGGTGTCAGGGCAGCTGGGACCCAGGCCTGGGTCTGAATCGAGCTCTCAGTCCCAGCCTTACTTGCACGGAAGCCTGATTCTCCTGGAGTCTCTGCCCAGAACCACAGCCCCATTGTTGTCAGGAGAGCCCCCATGCCAGCCTTATGCCCTGAACAGTGGAGATGCCCACTCAGCGATGCCCACTCAGCGATGCCACTCAGGAGCAAGAGGGACAGAGCCAGACAGAGGGTTGAAGCAGAGGGAGTCAAGAGACCCTGGGTGGACAAGGGGAGCATTCCAGAAATGGCCTCCTGCCCAGCGAGGTGAGGGCAGGGGCGCTGAGCCCCTCTCTGAAACAGGCACATTCCAAGGGGCTGCGTTGGAAAATTAGGTTGTGGGGGTGGCAGAGTGATGGGTTAGGGGCCCTTATAGCTGCCCAGGCCCTGAACGCCAGCTCTCCAGTCCCCCCAGCTGTGTGAGCTCACGGTGACCTGTGTGCTCGCTGAAGGCAAAACTGAGGCCTGAGAGGCCAGGGAAGTGGCCAAGGCCACCGGGAGAGTGAGTGGCGGCAGCCAGCGCTGCCTGAAATCAACCTGCTCCTCCTCAGAGGGGCTGGGAGCCCATAACTGTGCCTTGTGGACGTGCCCCCCAACTCCTCTGCTCCATCCCCCCGACCTCGTCCCTCCCAGTCGTTGTCCTAGAGGCCTGAGTGTTGTAGGATTTCTGTGGGTACCCCGTATTCCGGCAGGTGCGGGGGTCCTGGCTCCTTCTCATGAAGCCTTCGTGCACTGGTCCCAGGCCTTAAAGGGAGTCATGGACTAAGAGATAGGGTGTCAGCTGGAACCTGAATCTCTGCAAACCAGCGTCAGCCCCCAGCCCCGGCCCTGAGTGTGCAGAGTGTGGCTCTGGAGAGGGAGTCCAGGAGAAATAGGTGGAGAACGCTGCTTCCACGCAAGGAAGGCTGGGACTGAGGACTCGATCTGCCAGGCTGCTTGGGGGCACATTACTCGGGAGTGGCCTCGTGTTCTTCTTGCCTGAGTCACAGGCTCTCTGAGCGAGAGGGTGGTCTGGAGCCAGAGCACAGAGCACATCTCAGTGGGAAACTCTGCAAGACTGAGCTTGGGGCACTCGGCCTGGCCCAGCCTGGCCCAAGCAGGGGGACTGGAGTCATTGGCCACATGTCCTGCCAGGACAGACACAAGCCAATTGTCCCCTCACTGCAGGCCACCTCACGTGCCCTGCGGCCCCCTCCAGGAGCTCTCCTCGGACAGAACCTCCCCCAGGCCCTCTTCACCAGGCTGTGCTGGAAAACAGAAGCCATGGGGGAGGCGGTTCCTGGCAGCACAGGTTCACAGCCTTTCTCTCCTCCATCCATCCGGGCCCCCATGCGCAGGGGAGGCGGTTTCCAAAATGCTCATGCTGGATGGGAACTGCCGTCAGGCCTGCCGATGGGAAAGCGCTCAGGGGTTGCCAGTGCAGTCTGGTGGGGAACTTGTAGGAGCCACTGCCTTGTAAAAGCCCAGTCCGCTGCTTGTTTCAGAGAATCCAGATGTTTCGTACTTAAGCACAATGCAATGCGGGACATTCCCAGAGGCTCAGTTTACCAAAAACCTCAGTGTTTTTGCAGCAGCAGTCAGTCTTGTTTGCTGTAACTTTCTGCAAAATGCCTGTATGTCCCTGCCCCACCCCGCCCCGCCTTCTGATCCCCAGAGGAAGTTTTCTCATAATGGTCCCTTCCAGGCCATCTCTCCCTGCACACAGATGCGCAACGATGCAGCTAATAATAATAATAATAATAATAATAATAATATTGATAATAATAATAATACTGCAATAAGACAGACTAGTTTCTTAGTCTTGAGCCAAACCCTGACTCCCACCCAAGGTCCTGATCCTCTTCCTTCATCGCCTTCCCCAGGGCAGCCCACTCAGTTCATGGAAATCAGATCTCCTAGATCCATCAGGAAAACCATGTAAAAGTGGGAAGCCCTCCCCTGTCTCACTGAGTGTGATGCTGACAGTGACATAAGTGTCCCCAGAGAGTACAGCCTGGGTGATGTCGCCACCACACAAGGCCCTTTACCTGAGGCTCTCACTTCATTGTCGCAATTAGCAGCAGTGGTTTATACAGAGCAGGGACGGCCAGATGCTGAGTACCTTACACAAGCCCATGCTTTTCATCCTTCCAACAACTGGATGGAGGAGGAAGCCGACCCCCACCCAGTGGAGTCACCTGCCCAGTCACACAGCCGTGAAGCAGGAAGACCAGCGCCAACAGCCCGGTGCCCAGCTCCTCCCTGTGAGTGTGGCTGCCTCTCTGTCCTGCCAAGTGGTCACGGCTCCGTGTTTTGAAGCTGAAGAAACAGAGGCTCTGACATTTCGTGATGGGCGCAATGTGACAGGGCTATGGAGGGATTAGCAGGGCTGCGAATGACCCAAAGGGAGGCTCACTTCCCAGCCCCGTCTATGTCTCCTGTACCCTGCTCTCAGGATGATAGAGAAACATCTGGAAAGTACTTCCTTCCTCATGCAAACAATTCTGAATATTAATGTCTCATTTTCACACTGTGTTGTTTGCAGACTATGTCTAAATTTGAGCTCATATGTTTTTGCTGGAAACTGTCCTGGGTAACGATTAGCACTGCAGACAGGCCGTATGATGCATTCATGGCCAGGGAGGTCCTGAGCCCCTGTCCTATGACCTTGCGCACAGAGGGGTGTGAGATAAAAGCTGGGACAGGGCTTCAGCCCTCCAGGAAGTCCTAACTTGACAGCTGTGCTTCAGAAAAGTCTCAGATCATGACTTTGGGATAGTGATGGAAGCAGGCTTGACGACCCCTGCACCCCGACTCCTCACACACAGGCAGGCACACACACACACACACACACACACACACACACACACACACACAACTTCCTTATATAACATGCAGGAAACCCAGAATTGGAGCCAAAGCTCAAAGCACTGAAAGTTAAGGTTCAATCAACCACTTGCCAATTGTGTCAAGAAACATCCCTTCGCTGAGGCTGAGCTGGTGTAAGAAGCGATTGGTCACTGGCTTAGATCTCATTAACAGAAAACCAGAGGGGAAGGACACCATCACTTCCCAAGCCCCCAGCTACCTCCCGTACCCCCTTACGCCCACACAGCAGACTCGGGCTCTGCCATCACTCGGGGGTCTCTGCTGCTGTCTGAACGAGGTCCTGAGTTCAATCCCCAGTGCTCCCATTGAAAAAAAAAAAAAAAGCTTGTGAAAAATTCAAGAGGGTTTAGGTGTTCTGTTTTCCCAATGTGGCTACATTACTGGGGAAAACCACCATTATTCTCGAGTTGCCAAGGATTTTAAAACCTAGGGTGAGGAAAATGGCAGTCCCAGGAGGAGAAGGCAGCGTTCAGGGGCGTTTGTCACCCACAGGCACTCGAGGTGACACTTCATGCCTAAGTGACAGGTTCACGGATGCTGGAAGCCTGCACACCACATGGAGCCCCTGTGGGGACTGGTGGGGCTTTCTGGGGACCAACAGGCCCAGACAGACCCAGCAGGGGGGTCAGTGAGACTCTGGGCAGCAGGAAAAGGGTGGGCTTGAGCAGAGAAGGCGCTCGGCAGGCCCCAGAGACCAGGGAAACCACAGCCTTCTGCTCCCAGTTCCAGCGGGTTCTGGTGACCTTCTCTCTCTCTCTCTTCCCTGCAGGGGAGATGCATCAATGTCGCCCTAATGAACCCCCAGAGTGGGCAGTTGCCCTGCAGCCCCACGATCTACGTTCAGCCCAGCCTGGAGTGCTTCCCCATCAAGAACTTCTGCTCACGGTGCCAAACCCCGCCGTCCACGTGCCCCAGGCTTCCCACCAGGATGGTGCCGATGATCTGCCCTCCTGCCCACTAGCACCCTGGTGTCCTGAGGGAGTGGCCACGATGTGTCCCACTCCCAACAGCTGGGTCTTCATCTTTCACCAAGGGCTGGGATGCGTGCGGTTACAGCCAAACTCTGCCTTTTGAACAAAGCCCAAAACATCCCTGAAATATTAGTACAATCCTGTGTCTCCTTCCCTAATTTTATGCAGAGAGGAGTACTTGAATTTCTCACCTCCTTCGCTCTGTTTTCCTGGTTTCCATTTTTTGGCTACTGCACTCCAAATGTCTCACAGAAAGAAATGGCGTCCTCTACTGTTCACCAGCTGGAAGTGCATCTTCTCTTTTCCATGTTCCCCCAAGCTGTCTCTAACCCCGGGGGAGTTTTGGAGGAGTCTCTCCATTTCCCTGGAGAAGTTCAACCTCTGTTACTTGCCATCTGCCACCATAGAAGAAACCGTGCTCCCGACAGAGATGTTTTAGCATTCAATGTCCTCCCCACCACCCAGCGTGCGCACACGGTGTCTGACCACTCCAAGCACCGTGCACACAGCCCCCAGGAGCACTTCTGGGGGGTCCCCTGGGGGGACCAGAACTAGTTGTCCAGAATCCATGTTGATAGTAAGTTAAAATACTCTCCACCCTCCCCTCCAGCTCCTTGACTGTTACATTTATGCCTTTCAGTTAGATTTCCGTAAGGTCACTATAGGTAAACATATGTCAGGGCTGGTTTGTGAATATGTGTGAATTGAGACGGACGGACAGTGAAGACCATAACTTTCCTTATGTTCAAAATGAAAGAAAATAAAGGAAAACAAGGTTTTGCTGGAATGGCTTATACACATGTATGCATGGATTGTCTGCAGGGCTCCCCGAGGTCACACAATCCTTAACTTCAAAGCATTTGTACCTGGAGTTGCTCTTTCTTGTGACGCCCTCCCCCACTTCTCTGTCCTGTCACTGCTTGGGCCTCGGATCTGTGTCCTGCCAACAGCAGGGACAGAGGTGGTGACAGCCTCTCCCACCCCCTCGTGGGCCTGTTCTGTCTCCGCCAGCACATCGGTCCCCCAAGCTGTTTATCAGAAGGCTTTCCCTGGCACAAAACGTCAGGCACAGGCATGTCAGAGAAGTGAGCCAATTTAAAACGGAGGAACTAAGGAGCGTGCCTAAACCCCTGTGAGCTGGGAGTCACTGATTTGATTTGGGCCTCAGTCAGAGACCAGAGCAACTGCAGATGCTTCATGAGAACACACACCCACTCCACACCTCACTCCCTGACATCCCTCAGGGAACGGGAGGCCTTGTCAATGTGTTGGTTTCGTTTGGTTTTGTGCCATAAAAGTAAGAGGCAGTGGTTGTGTAAATGCAGAGAATGTTAACAAGGGATGCCTGACACTTGGCTGGGAAGCCATTGTGTCCATTCGCTTGGGCTGCTATAACCAAGGACCACAGACTGAGTGGTTTAAACAACAGAGATCTATTTTCTTTCAATTCTAGAGGCTGGAAGTCCAAGATCAACGGGTCTGCCGGGTTCCTTTTGAGCCCTCTCTCCTTGGCTTGCAGATGGTCATACTCTCCTTACGTCTTTGCACAGTGTTCCCTCTCTATCCGTGTCCTAATCTTCTCTTCTTAGAAGGACACCCCCAAAAATAGATCGAAAAAACAAATTTCTTCTGTATAGCACAGAGAATTATAATCAATATGTTGTAATAACCTTTAATGAAAATGAATAATACATATGTATATGCGTGACTGAAATAGTATGCCATACACCAGAAATTGACACATTGTAACTGACTATACTTCAATTAAAAAAAAAAAAGATACCAGTTATATTGGATGAGAGCCAACCCGTGTGACCTCCCTGAAGTGAATTACCTCTGTGAAGACCACATCTCCAGTCACACTCTGAAGTCCTGGGGGTTAGGGCTTCAACAGGTAAATTTGGGGAGGACACACACACCCATAACAACCATTTGTCAGCTGACACCCTCAGGACCCCCTCTTCAAGTGCTGGGTTCTGGGGTTCAGTGAGGCCTGGGAAAAGACTCCTGCAGGCTTTGTAGATAAAGAGGCCACAGGTCCTGCTCGACCCCAGTGTTGCAGACAAGTTGACGACCCCAGGCAGGTCACCCTCCCCTCAGTAGAGCCCACAGCTATGTGAAGACGGGGAAGTGAATGCGCACACAGCTGCCTGCCCTCACACACTCAGTGGGGGCTCCTGGGGGGCAGCTCCTGCAGGATGCTGGGTCAGGACCCACTTTTGCTACAAGATCAGGAAGAATCTTGGAGACTCATCATGTCCCTTGACAGATGAAGAGCTAAGGAAGTGTGGGTGGCAGCCCCTGCTCATGATCCTTGTGGAGATTCTGGGGGCTCCAGGGACATAGTGATGCCCAGCATTGCAGTCCATGAGCCCCAAGATGACCTGGGGTTCTCAACCCAAAGGTGCAATTCTTTGTAACTGGAAATCTTGGACTTTTATTCTTTATTTCCCTGCTACCCATGGGTGGTAAGCATCCCAGGGAAGCAAACTCTAGCTCAAGGAGCAGACGGCTGACTCTGGAAGATTCTCGTCATGTTGTCAGGAGGCCAGAAACGGGAAGGAGGCCGGGGGCAGGAGTTCCGCCCTGGGTCGGGCAGGGCTTGGGGCTGTCTCAGAGATGGGCTGAGCCTCAAGTAGCAGCAGCCTAACCTGGGGAGCCCAGAGGGCAGAAGGCACAGTGGGCTAAATGGGTATCTTCGACAGTGCCCCCTAGGGGCCTTCCTGTGGTATAGCCTCACATGCTAGGGGTCCAAGTGCTTGTTGAGGACAGGATGACCAGAGGTTGCCGGGATACAGTAAATTATTCCAGGAGATGGCGCTCAGAGCTTACATTGCTTTACTAGTCCAGTTTAAAAATCAGTTTTAAAACATCAGGGTTAGTAAATTCATGGAACGAACACGATGGGGACTTGTCTCACCGCTTAGTTGATTTCAGGCCTGCTCTGTGTCCCCTTTTATCAGGTTGTCAATGGTGAGAGCTTTTTTCTTGCTTTCTGGAGACTGGAGATATTTCTTTAAAAACCTGGAGAGATGGGAGAATACTTGGCGGGGTGGGGGGACCTGCGCTGCCCAAAGCCTTCAGCGCTCACTTGTCGGACCCACAGGCCTCCCACCAAATGTGCAGCGTCCTGTTACAAACAGCAGACTCCTGGCTGGGGTGGCCAGGTCGATGCCAGCGAGCTGGCCCCAGCCCCTCTGCCAGAGCCCAGCCTGCCAGTGTCAGGGCCCCCGGTCCCGTCATTCCACTCTGCCAACCTCTGCCCTTTTCCCCACAATCATCATCTGTCCCTCATTCACTGCAGGCTTGGGTACCATGTTGACGCTGCCCAGAGCCCAGAGCCCACTATTATCCCAGGGAACTCAACATCCACAGGATGACCCAGCCAATGCCATCACGTCTTGGCCTCCAAGTCCCTGCCCTGCAAGCCACCTCTATCCCCACACCCACATCCCATCACAGTTTCCATCTCTCCCTGTCAGCAAACCCGTCTCCCCTCCTACTCACTTGCCTTGTCCTGACTAGCTCTGCCCAGCTGCAGGCCTCCAGAAATCTGGGCCCCATCACGCCATTCCCCTCTGTGCCCTGTTCCTATGGCCTCAGCGTGCTCAGGCTAAACCTGGAAACCCTTTATGATGACCCGCAAGGCTCCTCTGTATTCACAGCCTCCCCTGCTCCTTTCCCTGGTGACCCTGCCGCCCTTCTCAACCTGAACAGGCCACACCCACCTACGCGGCCTTCCCACGTTCTAATGGGTGCCAGCTGTGTCCGTGTGCACACCCCCCATCTGGACAGGGACCCCACACCAAGGGCATCACTTGGCTCTGTTTTGCCTTTCTGCTCCCCCCACCCCAGCCCCACTCCTGAGCTGACTGTGATGAGTCACCGGGGCCTGTGAGACATCACTTCCTCAGAGCAGCCGTCCCATGCTGGGGCCCAGACAAGGCTGGATCCCCTGCCATACGTTCCCACAGCATCTGCCTTCCTCTCTGCTGCTCACCTGCTTCGTGGACCATCTGTGCTCCCCCTGGACCAGGGCTGCAGGCCCTGCATGGCCTGCTGTCAGCTGAGTATTGGAAACAGCAGCGCCCGTCACTCGTAGCAATGATGAGGGAAATGTGAGGTTGGAGCTCTTGGGACCTGCTTCCCCACCCCACCCCCCAATGCCACGCCCGCCTACCCACACAGGAAAGTTAACATCTCACAAGAACTACAGCGTGGCCTGGCCAGTTCCTGAGCGCCTCCCAGGCACCATGCCAGCTTCTGCCAGCCTGGTTGTCTCGTGTGGACCACATACAGCCCACCCGAGTGATGGGAAGGGGAGGTCACAATGATTTCACCCATGAGGACCCGGCACAGAGGACTCAGACAGTCACCCCAGTGTGCAGCACGCTGGACCCAGCTCTGTCTGATGCTCCGGCCAGGGCTCACTCAGCAGGGCTCAGGGCGCACCGCGGCCTCGGACACCCTCTTCCTGCTTCACTTCATGACATCATGTGGCCATCCCCCGCCAGGTAATCCGGAGAAAGAGGATCACTCTACGGGGCCAAAGCCCACGGCCAGGGCGGAGAGCTACCCACGCCCGCCCAGGAGTGAGGAAAAGCCCTTCCGGAGGAGGAAGGAGGCACGGGGGCAGGCTATGGGCACAGGTGGGTGGGTGAGAAGTTCCAGAGTGGGCATGGGGATGACGCAGGACGTCAGAGGCCCAGAGTGATGTGAGACCCAGTGGACGATTCTGGGGTGGGGCTGTTGAGCTGAGGGGACCCTGACAGAGCAGGTGGGGACCTCCGGGCTCTTGTCTCTGGGGTGGGAAGGTACCCAGGTGATCCCAAAGGGTAGCCAAGCCTCAGAATCACCAACAAAGAAGGAAGAGCAGAGGGCCCCAGGAGAGGCCCTGGGGGACAGTTAGGTGGCAGAAAAGTGGTGAAAAAGAGTGGCAAGCAGTGCTGGGCATCCCGGAAGCCAAGCAAGGAATGAGCTTCAACAAGAAGGTGAGATCTTTCCAGCAGGAGCAGATCAGGGCAGGGCCTGAGCAAAGGGCGTGAGGGCTGGTGGGAGCAGGCTGGGTTCTCCTGCTGCCTCCCGGGGGCAGGGTGCCTGCGGGCTCTCGGAGGGCGGGCCCTGTCTGACATCTCTCTGCACCAGGCTCTGTGTCCAATGTCTCTCTCTGGGCTCTGCCCAGAGCCACCACACTGCGGTGACCTAGCT